AGTTTTTGATCATCATCAAAAAGGGGGAGAATGTTAGCAAAAATCAAAGATGAAGTTTTGATGATGAACAGATTTGCACAACTCATCTTGTAAAGCTCTACTCAGAAACATTTTATGTGTTTAAGAAAGATTTTCCAAAAAGCTTATTCTACAAAAGTCATTCCGGAAGGTATTATATACATTTTAGAAAGCTTGTTGCAGAAAGATATTATATAGATTTTAGAATGAGTGATCTAAAGTGAGAAGATATTATTAAGCAATTTGATTGTAAGATACAAGTGCAAGACAGAGTCTTGAATGAGCTTATTATTTATGACAAATTTTCACTACCCACTCTTGCTTTTCATGGTCACTATGGCCTGAAGAATGGGATAACTTAGAGCCATTACATAGGTGACTAGGAAAAGTTGACCAAACATTTCTTGAAAATCCTTCTCATTCAATACTCTCCATATCCCACCAAAGAAGCCAACAATGTTGATAATGAGCAACAGAACCATTGGAGCCATGAACACAGCTGCACCCTGGAAATCGAACCTACCTTCCTCGTACTTCTTCATCTTCTCTTCGTCGATAGCTTTGTTTGACAAGTTGAATTTCATCTTATTCAACCCCAACCGCTTCTTCGTTGCTTCTAGTACTGCAAATATGCTTGTCACTGATTTCAGAATCCAAATTCTTTGTTCATCCCACCACATTTCTATAGACCCTTCCCCGGAAAGAACCTCGACCAAATGTTGAACCTGAGTGGATACATACACAAATGCAAACACTGCAAACCAAGGGTCTGTCACCTGTGATAAAATCAACAATCAAACCTTCTCATTTTCGAAGTCACAGAAAAAGTTATCTTCATTATGTTACAAGCTAAAATAAGACAACATTTATGCAGGAAATATACCTTTGGAAAGACAGGGATTCCTTTGAGGAGGCATAGTTGAGGTACAATGCCATACAGGATGAAGAAAAAGGCATAGAGAGATGACATTGTTATCAAGCAATAAGTGAAGGAATGAATTATGGACATGCTCGAAAATCCATAAGTGAAAGGGCTGTGTTTGGAAAAACCAAGCAAGAGAAGTTCAGACAACCACTTAACCAATTGAATCATGCCTTCTTTGATGTCAGTGGGGGCACACCCTAAGAAACATGGCGTTTTCGGGTAAAGATAAACTGATCTCCATCCTCTGGTGTGAAGAATATACCCAGTAACAGTACTCTCAAGTAAGATCACATATGAGAATCCCACCTGCGTGTACCAAGCAAATTTACATTTTCATACTCAACAATCTCTGTCCATAAACATCGATGAATCGAATACCAAATATGGTATATAAATGATGTTAGATGCATGTTGTCAACACTTGCCTCACTACCCCATTTTGTGTTGTTTTCGTAGGAACAAGAGCACACTGCTAGGGCTTCTTTTAACGTTTCTTCTCTTGAACTGCTCTTTTTGGTAGTTTTCTGTCCACGGATGATCTTCAGTGATTCAATGAACCCAGTAGAGTTGCCAAAGTACTTTTGTGCCTCTTGCAGATAGTCATCTACAATCACAGATTGAAAAATAACACAGAAAACTAGAAAATTAGATACAATTTCTTTAGTGGAATGTGACAAAGAAAACTAAATTACCATACACAGGCCATGTTTACATATGTTTACGTGTTTACGTACTCTTTTGGTTAGGACTTCCAAATAGTAACGCACTTCTACTCAAGTAATTACCACTGCCAGAAAGACCAGGACCTCTTAGTCCATCCATGCCTTGCCACATTGTCTAAAAAGAAAGTACAAAATGATAAAATAAAACAGACAAAGGAAATTAAAAGGTTTGTCTGCGTATGTATGTATGAATGATTACCTTAAAAGCGGTCCTAGTTTGACTATCGTAGATGTCTTTTTTGCTAAGGTTGTGAAACATTTGAGGGAATTGAACAAATGCAGTATCTTTGGAGGTCTGAGGATCAAGGAAGAAGCACATGGCTTGTTTGGCAGAGGTTGGATCATTGCAATACATATCGCAATCCACTACTAGAAAATAAGGTGCATTACTGAGAAAACCCGAGACTCTGAGCTGCAACCACGATTGAAAAATTCTTCATTGATCAAGCAAGAATTGATAAAAGGGTAGAAATCAAATTCAATTTGGTACGAACCAATGTGTTGAGGGCTCCTCCTTTGAATTTGTGAGGAAGGGATGGCCTTCTTTCCCGAGACACATAAACAAGAAGTGGCAAACCTGCCTCCTCATTTATAATCTAAACACATGCAAATATACCAATTAGTTTTTCTTCTTTCCCTTCCACTAACAAGAAAAAGTTTGCCTTATTGCTCTAACAAATATATCCATCATTCATTGGAAATGGTGCATATTCAACCAATATCAAACCATAACTTGCATATAATATATTCTGTTCATTCAGTCTATAATTCAACACATAAGAAAAATAAACTACTCATGGTAACGTAATGTTTTAAGACTAACAAATTTTCAAAAGACTGATATATAAATAATATTTGTACAATCATCACTCATAACACTCATAAGCTCAACAAATATGATATTTTTATATTAATAATTGAGAATGTATAACAATTTACTGTAAAAGGCATAAGAATAATTACAATTAAAATTTATTTAAGTGTTAAATTATCTTTTTATGTTTTATATGTTTTTTAGATCAATCAAAATTTTTTAAGTTAGGCTTACTAAAAGATAAATAAATGTGACTTTCCAAAAGAAATTGTGTGTGAGAAAGAATTTTACTTCAAATAAAGAAATTATAAAAAAAATCAAAATCAATAGAAGATAGATATCTAGTTTGATGTTCAAAGAGAAGAAATAAATGAAAAAACTACACTCTATTAGGTTCACCATCACTGCTATTAAATCCACAATAGCTAAAGATGAGATTGATAAAAGAGAAATTAAAGAAAAAAGTGTAAAATTTAATGAAAATATGTTTCCATAGAAGAAAGAAAAAGACAATAATTACAAGGAAAAAAATAGAAAAAAAATCAAACTTTAAAAGATTGATAATGAAATTTGAAATTCAAATAAAGCGATGAAAATTAAGGAGAAACATTGAAAATATTTATTTAATACGTTTTATTTAAATTAAGTAAGTTTATTTTGAAAATTCAAAGGCAAATGACGTATTGATAAAAAGAGAATGAGAAAATTGGTTAGCAAAAAATAAAAGGAAGTAGTGAAGTGATCAATTACAAGGATGTTGGTGTGGGCCAGTCCCATACCTCAATACGAGGAGCCCTGTCGTTGACAAGTCGAAGATTGTTAGGGTCTGAACCAAATTTATCGATGTTCTTCTGCATTTTCTCGTATTTAGCCTGTAAGTAACAGTACCAAAGAAACACTTTATGAACTCATGAAATTCAAAGTCACACAGGTGATCTTCCTCTTGGAGGAGATGAGAAGAAGAAGAAGAAGATAGGTACCTTGATGAGGTCACGATGAGCCTTGAATCCCTCGTGCCGAAGAAGGTCTTCATCTTCTCCCATCGGAGAGAAGAACGCCCTCGGACACCTCGACTTCACTCCATACTTTCTGCAGAAGGGAACCCACTCCTTCGCGAACACACCCGCCTCTTTCATAGCGTATAAAGTCACCGGAGTACCACCGTCGTCGGACAGATACACCGCCAGCTTATCAGAAGGGTAGTCCATGGCAACGGCGGAAACAACGGTGTCCATGACCTGCACCGTGGGTTCCTTCTCGGGGTCGAGCGTGCAGACGAAGATGTCGAGCCCCGGAAAGTTGTCCTCCCTCGGAAGCTTGTCGGTCATGACAGTCCGCGAGACGGGGTGCCAGCGGAAGGATTGGTTTAAGAACCAGATGACGGAGAGCAGAAGCTCGGCGAGTGTGATGAGTATCCATGGGGCGGTTGGTGGTTGGTGGAGGAGGTGGGATATGCGGTAGTAACAGATGGAAACGACGGCGACAAGGTGGATGAGTATGTGAAGTCTGGTGAGAAGCAACCATGATTGAACCGTTTCTATATGGTATGTGTGCCTTCCCATCTTTCTTTCCTTCTCACCACTGTTCTCAACTTTCCGTGCTCCCAGTTCTTCATATATACGTATATATATATATATATATATATNTATATATATATATATATATATATATAAAATCAATTACGCAATCGGTTTGCAGCAGTAGCGATATTAATGTAAAATTTTCATTCCTCCTCTCAAATGTTCTCTATTTTTGGTGAAATGGGAAAAGTGAGTGATCCCTCAAATCCATAGATCGAAACACAATTATACCCTTCCTTCAAAATCTCACTCCATGCGAACACAACACAGCCTATATAAATATTGATATTTAATTTATTTATTTTCATTTTTTATTTTCTCTCTTCATTTTTTGTTAATTTCTCTTATATAAGAGTTCTCGCAACTTACCGATGTTTTCAATTAAAAAATGAAAGTGTGTTTAATTATTCAAAGAATCTATGAATTAATAAAGAATTTTATATATTTAAATCAGCTTAGTTACCTTCATATTAAATATATATATATATATATATATATATATATATATATATATATAATTTAACCTAAAAAAATATAAATTAAATTTTAATTTTAATTTTTTTATAAATAATATATATTTGTAAATTCAGGCAATATAATATTTATATCTAATCCCTTTATAAACTAATATAATATTCATTTAAAGTATTCACTTTTAAAATGAATGATGATCATTGATGTGGCGGCCTGGCTTAGGAGAATCTCCGGTTAGATATGTTGAATCCATGCACCGGATTTGGATGTTTACCAGATTTAAAAATTCGATTTTATTTTTATGTATCCAATTTCGAAATCTGATTACGAGAAGTTACTAGAGTGGTCATCGGATTTTAAAATTCCATTTTATTCGTTTATGTAACTGTTTGAGTATAATTATTGAGGCCGAGATGTAACTCTCCTTATATCTTCTTCTTCCATAGGGTCTTTAAGGGAGAATGGAGTGGGTACCTGCAAAGATACTCCGACGCTCAAGTCAGAAAAAGGAATGACGAAACCTTTTTAGTTCAATAATGAAAAATTAATATTTTCTTCCCTCTTTCTGAATTATCCAAAACGTACCTGTTTCTCTTCTGGTTTTTCGTATTTAACCTAAAAGTAAGATAAACCGTTTACCTAAAAATTCGATTGGTTGGAGAACTCAACCGCTCGGTCGTGCTTGATACTGGGTTAGTTGGTTTCGTGATTTGCGATATCATGGCCAGATACTTCTAACCACTTATTCCTTAGTTTATCCGGGTTAATTGATCCAGTCTGAATAAAGCTGACGGAACGTCTGATGACTCTTACCTTTGACTGGGTTGATTTGACCCATGCTGATCGTTTGGTTTAAGTAACAGACAATCGCTATTAAGACGATTGATGTTAGGAGCGACAATGATGAGAGTATGATATGACGATCGTCTAGCTAGCATTATCTTCTATGATATAACGGTCGTTCTGTCTAGAAGGTTGACGATCGTTCGGAAGTAATCGTTTGAGTACTCGTTAATATTTGACTTGTTTACTTTTGGTAGTCGTACGGGTAAAAGCGATCGTTTAGTCGCTAGTTCGATTTACTATTGACAATCGCTCGACTCAGATATCCTACCATACATAATACCCCCCGAGTCCGAGTTAAACAACGCGGTTTAAGCGTGCGAGTTAACTGTAGGACGTTGAGGGTACACTCATTGAGTAGGGTAGTCGCTACGCACTATTTTGTCGAGACGTTTTAGGGTTTCCCGCTTTCGAAGGTATGTATAAAGGCATGAAAACAAAGCCGTTGGATTATGCTGATCCTACGGCGTGTGGTGTTCTGCTGTCAGTTGTTCCCTTATTAACGTGAAAGGAAACATGAAGAGGTGTAATGAAAGTGTTGACATACCGAAAATGTCGTCGGAGGGGGAACACCATGAAATCGCCACCATTCTTGGTGGCGAAGATGCGTTTCTATATGGTACTGTATTGACTGAAGACCCAAAAGATTGTGCTTCTTCGTCGTCTTGTTGTAGCAACTACGATTGGGCTTCTCGGGAAGTAAGTGATTTTCATAGCTTGCTTAGAAGTAGGGTAGTGCTAGAAGATTGGGTAGAAAATAGCTGCATTTTGAGAACTCTAGGTTATAGGTCTTGCATTAAGTTGGTGGCTTGTCGTGAGAATGAAAGGGTTTTTCACGAAAGAGAAAATGCCACCAACGATTTTTTCTACTTCTATTCTTCGCCATTCTATGATATGTACATTAGATTGTCTCTGAGCGGTTTTCAGATGGAGGTATTAAGAACCCTAAATGTTGCTCCAACTCAACTGCATCCCAATAGCTGGGGATACATTCAGGCGTTTGCTGTTATGCGTCAGGCCTTGGCCATTAGGCCTACTATGTCGTTGTTTTTGTGTTTCTTTAGATGTTGTCCTGTCACCAAAAGGGGTTGGGTATCTTTAATTTCTGAGCCTAGTGACGCCCTCCTGGAACTGTACTCGCAGTCGTACAAGGGTTTTAAGGATAAATTCTTTAAAGTGTCGATTCTTGATTCAGGGCAGGCGTTCTTTTTTTATGAAGATGGGAGCCCGAAATTTCCTTTGTATTAGACGCAAAATCCACTAAGATTCACCTCGTGGTCTGAGGATAAAATGACTATTGGAGAACTGGAAGCTTTTAGTGTGTTGACTGCACTGCCTCGCCCCTTTTCTTCCCGTCGAATCATACATTGCCTTGAACACGATGACTTCGGCTCAAGGGTGTTTCGTATGTTTCTCTTATTGGTGGTTTTGTGTATTGTTTGATTATTGTTGACTGTTTGTGATGAACATGTATTTGCAGAGACCATGGGGAAGAAGGGACCAATTCGGAATTGGTTTAAGACCATTGCCGATGCTAAAGCAGGCAGCGATCGTCCAGGTCAATCTTCAGGGGCTACTCAACTATCTCCAAATATTCGGTCGTCTTCCCCCGATGAAGTGGCGGTCGTTGAGGAGCAGCCGCTCGTGAGGAAACGGAAAGGGAAGGCTATCGACAAAACGGGCGTTGTTCCAAAAAGAATGAAGGATGCTGACGAGGTGACGAATCGCCCTCTTCCTAATGGTGTGTGGGATTCGTCTTTCAACCTTAGCCATAAGACTGATTTTAATCTGGATGACTCTGAGAAGAAGGTTGTGGAAAGCATGACTGAACAACAAATGGCAGATGCGATGTTGGAGCTAGCAAGCCGAGCAGCTATGGCCGCTTGGCACATGACGTACGCATCTGATAGGGGTGTGTTGAGGGTTGAGTTGCAAAAGGTGCAAGCCCAACTAAAGGAGTTGGCGGATGTCCATTCTAATTGCGAACAAAGACAAAGACAATCTGAATAATTATTGAGTGAGGCTCAAACCCTTTTGAAGAATGTTCAAGCAGCTGGCTTCGCGATGAAGAAAGAACAGGATCAGTTGCAGATAGAATGTAACCAGTTGGCGACTGAACTAGAGCAGTCAACGAAAACCGTGACTGTTCTAACTAAAGAGAGGGATGACCTACTTCTTGCTGCTTTAGCTGAGATTCCGGATGATGCTTTCATGGAACCTGAAGAAGTTGTTGATGTTCGGGTAGCTGCTGCTGAGGGACCGAATGCTGAAGCTACCGGGGGGTCTGTTGTTGGGACACTAGATGTTGTAATAGATTAGGCTGTAGGATATTGGCGTGGCCATGAACCCTTGATGTTTATTTGTTTGTTAGGAAGAGGTTTTAGTTATTTTGACCTTTGACCAAACGCCTTTGTCTCGCATGACTTGGGAAGACGTTATATACTGATTACCTATGAAATAGAGTATTTGTTGTCGTTTGTTATCACTGCTTCGTGAATGGTAGAGTGTCCTCATGCTGGTGTGAGGTAGACGTTGCTAAGTGGATTTAATCTAGACCAGTGAATGATCTTTTAGATTAAATGTGTTGGGTGTTCTAGGACGAACATCTACCAGTGGGAGTGTATCCCTTTGATTAATGCAACTGGGTGTTCAAGAAAGAACATCTACTAGAGGGAGTGTATCCCTATGTGCCATGATCTGGATGTTCTAGGACGAACATCTACCAGAGGGAGTGTATCCCTATGCGCCGTGGTTTGGATGTTCTAGGGCGAACATCTACCAGGCTGAACGGTTTCGTATCGTTTGTCCCTGGGACTTGAAATATGAGAATAAAATAAATGAAGAATGGAAAAAACATTCCTTATTGTAGGCACAAAAATAATGTTTCATAAACATGAAAATGATAAATTTCAACTGAAGTAATATTTAAGGTGAGTGGCGTTCTAAGTGTTGGGGATGGTTTTCCCATTGAGGAGTTCAAGGTGATATGCCCCATTCATCAAGTCCTCTATAATGCGAAACGGTCCTTCTCAGTTGGCTGCGAGTTTTCCATGCGCTCGGTTTTTTCTTGCCTCTCCTCGTTTCCGCCACACAAGATCGCCATTTTTGAAGGCTCTAGGCTTGACCTTAGTGTTGTAACGGCGGGAAAGCATCCTTTTTTGGGCTGCTGCAGGAATGGTGGCAACTTCTCATCGCTCGGATAGCGTGTCTAGGTTCATCTGTAGCTGTTCATCATTAAGGGTCATGTCGGTGATGTTGCGTCTTAGTGATGACTCTCCGACCTCGACTAGAAGCATGACATCAGTGTCGTATGTCAAATTAAATGGAGTGTCCCCTGTGGATCCATGTGGGGTGTATCTGTATGCCCATAGTACTTCTGATAATTCCTCGACCCATAAGTCTTTAGCCTCGCCGAGTCGTTTTTTCAATTGTGTGAGCAAAGCTTTGTTGGCAGCTTCTGGTTGTCCATTGGTTTGTGGATGTTCTATTGAGCTGGTCACATGCTTAATCCCCAGGTTTTTGAGGAAATATTCTAATCTTTTCTCAATGAATTGTCTGCCGTTGTCCGTGATGATTTTTTGTGGCAGACTGAACCGGCATATTAAGTGCTAGATGAATTTATGTACGCGTTGGGCACTGATTATGGACAGTGGTTCGACTTCTATCCATTTAGTGAAGTAGTCGACTACCACTAGGAGGAATTTGTTCTAAGCTTTTG